ACAAAGAAGATGTATCTTTACCTTATTAGGTCATTTAGATTATATTAGAACAACTGTATTTCATCAAGAATATCCATGGATTTTAAGTGCATCTGATGATCAAACTATTCGTATTTGGAATTGGCAAAGTCGCACTTGCATTTGTGTCTTAACTGGACATAATCATTATGTAATGTGTGCACAATTCCATCTTACTGAAGATATTATTGTATCAGCTTCTTTAGATCAAACAGTTAGAGTATGGGACATTTCTGGCTTAAGAAAGAAAAATGTAGCTCCTGGACCAGGGGGATTAGAAGATCATTTAAAAAATCCTGGTACCACAGATCTATTTGGTCAAGCTGATGCTGTTGTAAAACATGTTTTGGAAGGTCATGATAGAGGTGTTAATTGGGCATGTTTCCATCCAACATTACCATTGATTGTTTCTGGAGCTGATGATCGTCAAATTAAAATGTGGCGAATGAATGATGCTAAAGCTTGGGAAGTTGACACTTGTCGTGGACATTACAATAATGTTTCTTGTGTTTTATTCCATCCTAGACAAGATTTAATTCTTTCAAATTCAGAAGATAAAAGTATTCGTGTTTGGGATATGTCTAAACGTACTTGTTTGCATACATTTAGGAGAGAACATGAAAGATTTTGGGTTCTTGCTGCACATCCTACCTTAAATCTTTTTGCTGCTGGTCATGATTCTGGAATGATTATTTTCAAACTAGAAAGAGAAAGACCTGCATATGCTGTATATGGAAATGTTCTTTATTATGTAAAAGAACGTTTTCTTAGAAAACTGGATTTTACTACTTCAAAAGATACGTCCGTTATGCAAATACGCGGAGGTGGAAAGACACCTCCTTATAGTATGTCATATAATCAAGCTGAAAATGCTGTTTTAATCTGTACAAGATCACCTAATAATGTCGAAAATAGTACTTATGATTTATATATAATACCACGTGAAGGTGATTCAAATACTGATGCTGATACAAAACGGGCTTCGGGTGTCACAGCTATTTGGGTTGCAAGAAATCGTTTTGCTGTATTAGATAGAGCATATTCAGTATGTACTTAAAGAGAAATATTAATTACTTTATAATAACAAAAATAATTAAAAAATAATATTTAAATTATTTGTTACAGTTAGTCATCAAAAATTTAAAAAATGAAGTTACAAAAAAAGTGCAAATTCCAAATTGTGACGAAATATTTTATGCTGGCACTGGAATGCTTCTTTTACGTGATGCTGATCAAGTAACACTCTTTGATGTTCAGCAAAAAAGAACATTAGCTGAAGTAAAAATTTCTAAATGTCGATACGTCGTTTGGTCTAGCGATATGTCTCATGTTGCTTTACTTGCAAAACATACTGTTAATATTTGTAATCGACGATTAGAATCTTTGTGTTCTGTACATGAAAACACTAGGGTAAAATCTGGAGCATGGGACGATTCTGGAGTGTTTATTTATACTACTAGCAATCATATCAAATATGCAATTAACAATGGTGATCATGGTATTATTCGTACTTTAGATCTCCCGATATATGTAACACGAGTCAAAGGCAATCAAGTTTACTGTTTAGACAGAGAATGCAGACCAAGAATTCTTCGAATAGATCCAACTGAATACAAATTTAAATTGGCTTTAATTAATAGGAAATATGAGGAGGTTTTGCACATGGTTCGCAATGCAAATCTTGTTGGCCAATCTATAATTGCATATTTGCAACAAAAGGGATATCCCGAAGTTGCTTTACATTTCGTTAAAGATGAAAAGACTAGATTTGGTCTTGCACTCGAATGTGGAAATATCGAAGTCGCTCTAGAAGCTGCAAGATCGCTTGATCAAAAATCTTGTTGGGAGAGCTTAGCTCAAGCAGCCTTATTGCAAGGCAATCATCAAGTTGTTGAAATGTGTTATCAAAGAACTAAAAATTTTGAAAAATTAGCATTCCTTTATCTTATAACTGGTAATTTGGAAAAATTACGTAAAATGATAAAAATTGCAGAAATTAGGAAAGATGTATCTGGGCAATATCAGGGTAGTTTGTTACTTGGTGATATTTATGAACGTGCAAAAATATTAAGGGTATGTTTTCATATAACTTGAATACAAATTAAAAAAAATTTTAAAACAAATTGTAAAAGAAAAGAATACGAATTAAAGCTTTTTTATTATAGTTAATTTTCTATTTTTTTATATTATAAAATTAATTTTCTATTTTTTTATATTATAGAATTCTGGTCAAGCTTCTTTAGCTTATGTAACGGAAAAAATTCATGGTATATCATCTCCGGAAGACGATATTCAATATAGTTCTATGAGCGAAGAACTTTCTGCTCTTGAAAAAGGAGCAGAATATCTTCGACCTCCAGTACCAATTCAACAAGCTGAGAATAATTGGCCATTATTAACAGTATCAAAAGGTTTCTTTGAAGGAGCAATGATGTCACGTGGAAAGAGTCAAGTAGCTGCTGCTTTAGCTCCGGAAGATGACAATGCTGAACCAGCCGAAGGATGGGGTAATGATGAAGAATTAGGAATAGATGATGAAGAAGGTGTTGAAAATGAAAACGTTCCTGAAGGTGAAGATACTGCTGGATGGGATGTCGAAGAAGTAGATTTACCACCAGAACTTGAAACCACAACTGTTGTGGTGGAAGATGGCTATTATTCACCGCCAACAAAAGGAATATCACCTACTCAACATTGGGTGAATAATTCTCAATTAGTTGTAGATCATATATTAGCTGGATCGTTCGAAACAGCATTTAGATTATTGAATGATCAAATTGGTGTAGTTGAATTTGAAGCATATCAAAGTCTTTTCATGAATACTTTCGTACGTGCTAAAACATCGTTTGCTTCATTACCAAATATACCTTCATTGTATGGTTATCCTCAAAGAAATTGGAAAGATACAAATCCAAAAAGTGGTCTTCCTGCAGTTGGATTACATCTCACCGATTTAGTTCAACGACTTCAAATATGTTATCATTTGACAACTGGCGGAAAATTTCCGGAAGCAATAGAAAAATTACAAGCAATTTTACTCAGTGTATCATTATTAGTTGTTGATACAAGACAAGATATTGTAGAAGCACAACAGTTGATTCAGATTTGTAGAGAATATATTCTAGGTTTGAAAATGGAAACTGAAAGAAAAAATTTACCTAAAGCTACTTTAGCTGAACAAAAACGGATTTGTGAAATGGCAGCTTACTTTACACATTGCAATTTGCAACCTGTTCATCAAATTCTTACTTTAAGAATAGCTGTAAATATGTTTTTCAAATTGAAGAATTATAAAACTGCTGCTTCATTTGCTAGAAGATTACTTGAATTAGGTCCTAAACCTGAATTAGCACAACAAGTTAGAAAGATTTTACAGGTGCGTATTTTCTTAGTATATGTTAAAAAATGTAACTAAAAATATAATATCATTTTTTTTTTTTAGGCATGTGATAAAAATCCAATAGATGAACATCAATTAGTATATGATGAACATAATCCATTTTCATTATGTGCAAGTACATATGTTCCAATTTATAGAGGAAAACCAGAAGTTAAATGTCCATTGTGCGGCGCAACTTACTTACCGCAATTTAAAGATACAATATGTAAAGTTTGTGAAGTTGCATTAATTGGAAAGCAATGTATGGGTTTAAGGATAAGTCCTATACAATTACGATAATTTTTTGCTATTTTTATGTATTAATATATCAATAATGTTAATGTCATTGTTTTATAATTTTTTCATTATGTTAAATGTAAAAGGTATTATGTCATTCCAGTAAATATTGTAAATATTACAAAAGCTATATATATATATATATTCCAATCTTGAAATTATTTATTATCATTCATTAATTTAAAAGACAACACTTTTATACTATTATTATTATTATTTCATATTGAAACATATGATAAATATAAATTATATTTTAAAAATATATAATAAAATTAAATATTAATATTTTATCATATATTTTACCTTATGCAATTTTTTTTTATCAAGATAGATGTAAAATGAATACATATTTCTTCATTGAAATATTATTTGCAATTTTTATAGTTATTTTATATATTGATATTAATATATTTATTAATTATATATTTAAAGAATCGATTCTAATGGCTAAATACATTGATATACAAAAAATATTCATTAAAGCTTATTTATTAAGTTGTAAATAATTTAAATTTATATTAGATGAAGCGAGATAAATCGACATAATTGTTGTTGAATGTTTAACTAATAGTACCATCTTTTTGAAAAATATTCAAATTTATTATATACTATGTTAGTTACTGTTAGCGCTTTAAAAAATATTAAAATTTTTAAAACATTATTTATCGACAATAAAGTTTTTGTTAAAATAAAATAGATAAATTTTATCTTTGAAACAAATTATAACAATAATATAAAATATATATAAAATATATAATTGATTACATATATAAATTCATTAGATGATAAATTTATTCTATAACTAATCTCAGTGAGTTTAATACCAATATTTAAAAATATTGGTATTATTTATTGGTATTTATAAAAATCCCCAGTTAATATCAATTGGTAAGATAATATATCAATAGATAATATATCAAAAACATGAAAATTTATAAATTGATTTGAATATACTACAAAATTATAGAACATTTTTTTACTAAATATTAGTAATTTTTTATTATATATTTGTTATATTTACTAATTTTATTTTACATATTGTGACTATCTAGGAAATTATATATTTATAGGGAAATTTTTTATTACATACTTTTTTATCCATTTATAGAATTTTCAAATTTTAAATGAAATTGTTTATTATTTCTTTTTTTTTTACAAAATTCTTAAAAATTATAAAAAATAAAGATTTAAATTGAAATATAACATTAAAATTATTATTTATTTATAATAATAATTACAGAATATAAAAAAATATATACTAAGTTTGATCATTGATAAATACTGAGTGAGCACACTAGAAGGCATAAAACCAGTGCCGTAAACATCGTGAACGTAAATACACGGTGTGCGTTCTGTGTATACGTGTTACGTTACAGACGTCTTCTAAATCGTGCTGAATTTTCATGATTCTTATCGAAAAAATTTCACCTAACTTTATATTTATATGAATTATTTAAGTTAAGTTAATTAATAAAGAACAATAGTGAAAGGTAGGTTATAATCAAGACATACGATATTGACAGTGCTAAGAATATCAAGAAGTAGTAAATTTTCGTTGGGTGTGTGAACCTTCGAAGTTATTTAAGTTGTCGTATTGTAAACATTGAAGATATAGAAGTTTCAAGAAAAGAGCACACTATCTTCGAAATCATCGGGCGTTGTACTACTCTAGGGGTAACACGGTGGGTGCATAGCTGCGCGGTATGAAAAAATGATGTGATCGATGGTCATCATGGCGGCACCCATGTTAAAGTGGAAGCGAATCACAAATCCGTCCGGACCTCAGCCAAGACCCAGACATGGACATAGGGCAGTTGCTCTTAAGGACCTTATGGTCGTTTTCGGCGGTGGAAATGAGGGCATTGTTGATGAGCTTCATGTCTATAACACGAGTAAGTTGCTTTCTTGCTGTGCGTCTTTCGCGCCGTTCTTGATGATTCCCGCGATCCAAGATGGCGGCATACATTGACAAAACGATCACCGGCCGGATCACCGTGAAAACTATGAATTTTGATTATGTCTGATGATTTATTATCATATGTTTCATATATGTTAAATGTACCTTTATTATATATGTCTTTTTAAATCTTGTTTATTAAACATTTGGTTAATTTCATGTATAGAATTAATGCGATCTGTCATTTTTCATGTTTATACGCACGGGAGCGGCCATTGCTATCTTATATACCCCACCACGATTTGCAACGCGCCGCATTTCCCGTCATTCCACGTTCACGCTTCAACCTTCCTTCTCTTTTTTCTTTCCATTCCTATTTCTTCTCCCACTCTTTCATTTTAGGTTTTCACATCTTTACATGTCATGAATGTGTATAGAATTTCTTTTAACTAAGTTGCCAACAGTTATACGCATGCGTACTTAAGAAATATTTTCTAGTCGTATTTGAAATGTTATATTAATGATATTACTTAAACACTCATATATTTATTACAAAAAAATAATAAATATAATAATGTATTCTAATTCAAATATAATAAAATTATAAATATAAATTATAAATTATAAATATTTTAAAGATCATTATAATTTAATTTATAAAATGTAAACAATAAATAAAAATTTAATATTTTACTCATTATCTTTTAAAATTATTT